TCAAGCAGCGTTTCGTCGATCTCGCATGCTCCCACGACAAATATACGATTGTCGATTGGAAATGAATTCGTTTCAATTATCCCGTGACTTGGTAGATTAGATGGGTACTTAATAAGAACAAGCTCGAGCTCGTAAAAGTTTAAATATTGCTTTGTAGTACGGAGAATTCAACGATGTTTCTTCTCGATTCCAATAATCCAATGAGAGAAGAAACAAGAATGAGAAGAGAATTGTTCGTTCGTTCGTTCATCCATTCATTCAAAGATCTTATTTTGAATAAGATAAAGTACGCTCGAACGTTTCAAGTGAACGCGAACGTATCTCGATAAAGAGTTCCGAGAGTATAAAAGAATCTAAAAGAACGTGTTAAAGTCATAATACGTATCTTCGATAAGTGTCGCTTCTGTGATGTGCCAACACTCGTAGGACCGTTAGAAAGGCGGATCACTTAATTTCTAAGCGTGAAAGGAGGCCAAGAGAGAAGCTCTTTATGCTTGATAGGTAGACACGAAGTAGCTAAGGTATCCATGACAACGCGATGACAACGTCTCTCTCTTGCTGGTCTGGCAACATCAAAGAGACCTACCCTGGTAGTTGAGTATTAGTGTCCAGCCTCAGCAATCGAAGAGCTTGTTTCGAAGAGAGCCCAAGAGATGAAGAGTTAAAGAGAAAGAGAGAAAGAGAGAAAGAGAAAAAGAGAAAGAGAGAGTGAGCTAATATGTAAGATAGAAAGAGAAGGTTATATAGATCGAAAGACAGGTTCGAGTAGTTATACGTGAAAGGGGGGAATGACGGAAGAAACGACGAGACTTCGAGGGGGTTTCTAGTCTATGGGGTAGCTGGTAGCACCCCTTCAGCTATTGATCAACGACGAGTCACCAACAACACGCCCTCTTAATTAAACCCTCTGGCAATCTGCTAGATCGTCCTTCGTCACTGTGTGTCCCGTAAGAAGAGGAAGAAGAAGTAGTAGAAGGAGAAATACTTCAAGTCAGCAAAGACGAAGATTTTCAACCCCTCTTCTCTTTCTTTTTAAAGTAATAAACAATTTTCTCCTTCGATTTTTATTTTCGTTATTTCAACGAAATATATTAATTTTTGGAACATATATTTCTTTCTTTCGTAGAATAACGAATATCGTTTTTTTTTCTATCCCCCGATCGGATAATAAAAATCATTTTAATCCATTTCTCGGTAATACGTTAAAGTTAAATTGTGGCGCGAATCGAGATTTCCAAGCTTCAAGAGTATCCTTCTTTTGAGAAAAATCAGGAGAAAAGATCTTCCCCGAGATTTCGTTTTTGGTAGAAAGAAAGAAGAAGAAGAAGAAGAGCCGTCCACGAGGTCGTTGAGTACCCTTTGGCTTTTATAGGAACTGAAAGGACGAGAACTTGCGCTCTCGAACGGACGGAAGAGGGAGGAGCTTTAATAACGAGCTAAGAAAACGTGCTCTATTTCTTAGAAAGGACAAATAGAGAAAGAGTGGGGTGAAAGAGAAAGAGAGGAAAAGAGAGATACAGTTAAAGCAAGAAAAAAAAAGAGAAAAAAAAGAGAAAGAAAGATGGAATAAGAGTTTAGTTCGTTGCGTTGGATAAGATCGAGATCGGCTGAGAGAGAAAATACAGTTCTTCACAAAATAAAATGTTTCTCTCTTTTTAAGAGCGAATAAGACGTCTGGGTTTAATATTAACGGTTGCTCCGTACCGAATTAAAGATGTTTCTCGACTCCCAAGAGTCATCCTTAATTATTCGACTTTACTGTCTCCCATTTCGCGCCCTCTAATTCTATTTCTCTCAGTCGTCTCTACAATTCTCTACCTCCTCAAGGCTAAACTTTCGCGCGAGTTTCTTCCTGAAAATTATTTTGTGACTGTGTTGATTTCGAGATCTATCCTCGCCTTTTCTCGATACCCTATTTTTTCTTTTTTTCATTCATGACTCACGAATATCTTCCTCTTTTCTCGCTCCACTCTTACTTTATTTCTTTTCTATTCGTTTATTTATTTGTTAGAAAACTTGAACACATTGATTATTAATACTTCAAATTATGTATCTTGTATTATTAGGTTGGTGTAAAATAATGGCCGTTTCCAGATATGAAATCAGTTTTAGAAATGGCCATTATTTTTGCACCAACTTAATATATACATAATCCTGAAAGACAACTTTACTCCCTTATTAATCCCTTTCGTTACTAACGACTCATATAAAATTTGTACTCCGCGACATATCGTATAAACAATCGAATTTATATAGAACGATACTCGCGTGAATCGGTATCGATAATAAAAGGGTTATAAATCAATAAACAAAATAATCTATAAAAAGCGTACAAAATATTATATTTAAAGTATAAAAACATTAGGGACAATTTCACAGGGAGTAGATAACGATTAAACGCGTTCCCTCGAATTCCAAGCGAATTACTAATTATACCTCGAAGGATTTAGAAGGATATAGAGCGAGAGACGCTTTTACGAGACAATGAAGCAGCAGTTTATAGGTGTGGTATCAGCCTGCTGAGATACCAAGCATATCTTTCATTGCGTCGAGTTGGTAGAGAGGGATAAGAAGGCGATGGTAGTCGAAAGTCGTTGACAGTACGATGGCTCGAAGGAACCCGGAATAGGCGACTAGGGAGAGAAGGGTAAAGAGTAAGAGGGACAAGGGAGAAGGGAGAGAAGGGAAGAGAAAGATCGTGGATGGAAGGAGTAGCAGCTGGAGCTAAGGGAAGGAGGGAAAGAGGATTGAGGCTCTTTCGCTGAGTAATTAGCAAGGAGGAGCCGGTAGAACGGTTTATTAGCGCGGAAAGCACCGAACGTTGCTCGTGTAAATATTCTTGCGCTATGCCGCGACGCCGGTAACTTCTCCGCTAAATATCTAACCTCCAGTCGCTTAATAACGGATGTGTACGGTGTTACCATCGTACCTATAGTACTCTTAATGACGCCAGATAAGGATAGTATGTATTTTTCTCGGAAACAGGCTAGACAATTTCTTCTACGTTTCAACGTTTCATTAGCATTGTTTCGATCCAGTTAAGAATATTTTCATCTTCATTCAATCAGATTTTAAAATCGGTTTAAGATTTATAGCGTAAAATCTTTCCTCTTCGATGATAATATGTAGGAACAAAATAGGATGTTGGATATTGGTGTGTGCAGTGAAAAGTATTAAATAGAAATAGAAATACTTTTTTTATCAATGGTGGTACAATTAATGTAACTATAAAATATGTTCAATCTCTTGAATGGCAATTATTAAACGCGTATTTCTATTGTAACAACCTATCGCATTTAATGAATCGTTTTACTAGCAAAATTAGCGGATTATCGAATTATCATCGATATACTCATTGAATGTTCAATGATAACCAAAGAGTATTTCCGTGTTCATAGGATCACGCGATGTTCGATTGATATTTGCTACGATTAAATACAATTACTTCATTAACCGAGTGTGAAATGAAGCACGTGATAACTCTCTTGAGTCATAGAACTGTTACCTACTATTCGTACTACTCTACTATCTTTTCATTTGACGTGTAAAAGGTAGGAAATGAAATGCATTGAAGAGGATAAGTTTCTTCTTGCGGTATTTCTCTTACGCCCACACAAACACGCACATACATTAAGTTCATGAGGAGAGTGTGAATCAATGATGGGGAAGAAAGAATGGCACGAAAACACGCACGCGAACGTCCAACTACATTTGCCCAAGTAGCGATCACCAAGTAGTAAACGCGTTTCCTTGCGCTATTTGCTTTTATAACGGACACTAGTTAAACTAATGGTTTGTTGTGTTCGAACGCGAACTGAAAAACGTGTTACCTCATGCGACCGAGTTCAAGCTTGCCAACTACGGTAAATTGTTTTCAGCTAATTACATCAATGCTCGAGGCATTCATTGCACAACTCGCGATCTGTTTTGCACGGTTAATCGTAGTTCAGTATAAAAAAAAAAAGTAGGATTCTAGAATGAACGTAAAGAGTAGACACTATTAACCGCGAATTCCTGTTTTTTTTTGGTTTCACGTAAAAAGCATAATGTTAGTCATCTACTGACAATATATAATATTTCTACTATTTATTTTTACTTTTCCTTTTGCTCTGTATTTGGTCAATCACTTTAGATACGATAAATATGCTTCTCCTACGATTACTCAGCAAGTTTATTTTCAAGTTTATTTCTTTTCTTATAGCCAAAAATGTTATTTCGAGGATAATTTTAACTAAGATACTCAGATTTTCTGATTAAATTTATACCTCGTTAAACTTATAGCTGTTTTTTTTTTTTGAGACTTTCTCGAGAAAGTTATATTCTCGTAAAAAAACAAAAAAGAAGAAAGGAATAGAAATAAACACTTACAATTAGAGAAAAGAGTTGACTAACATAAGAGTCAAGTTTCGTTTCCAACAATAGCAATTACGACCTTGTCTCCCTTTTGACTTTTCAGACATCGAAGATAAAAAAAGGAGGAAAAAGAATCGGTAAACTCGTCTCTTGAAGTTTGATTCACTTGAAACGTTCATCATGTAAGTTTTGAGAATGTGCCGAGTTTTCGGATACGGTCAGTTGAAGAGTTCTGTAAACAACGTCACGTCCGATGGAAACGGAAGTGTCCTGCGTCGAGAGGAAACCCCAAAGTATCCAAGTGTGTAATTGCAATGAGGAGAAGAATGTTGGGTAGAAACGAACAGGAATTTTCTAAGTCATTGAGTTTAAAAAAAAAAAAGAAAAGGACACTTAATGCTATGAAAGAAATGATTTTTTTTATCGAATAATTCCAAGTACTTTCTTTCTTTCTACATATATAATATAAAAAAAAAAACAACTTCGTTATATAAGGAAAAAAAGAAGAAAAAAATAGTTATCGAACACAACATATTTTTCTGCAATAATAAATGGATTCCGGAAATTATCATGTCACGCTAGTGTAACATCGTTCGTTCGTGCAAACGCTCCAGTTAATGCAGCGTTAGGAGTAAAGGGTAACTAACCTTATTCACCCCATTGTGATGTTTGACATTTGACGTTCTCCGGTGTGTACGACGACTCACATCATTGAACCTGCAAATGGAAGCGAGTATATACGTGATAATGTGTTTACGATAAGATCGATTTACAAATTATATGTCTATTTTTATTCTGCAAATTTGAACTTTTGAGGAAAATAGTTGCATAGATATTATTAAAAGAGAAAATTAATGAACGTTCGAAAAGTTAGATCGAAAGATTTTAACCATCATAATAGACTCGACAGAAAAAAAGGGTAAGTATAAAAAGAAAAAAAAACTTGTAAGATTAAATTTACTTAAACTTACTTTTTTCCATGTATTTCTCTCTATAATTTTTTTCCTCTTTACACTCGCACGACATAAAATAAGTTAATAGCCGACCGGTTCGTTAAAAGAAAGAATGATAGGTTTCAGAATATAATTGTATTTTTCACATTAATTTGATTCAAATTATCGAAAGTTACTATCATTCCTCGATTCGCCAAAAAGGGTTCACGAACAACCTTCGAAGAACGTGTATGGACAGATGTACCTCGATCCATTCTATCTCTTTTCGTTCGTTCCCTTTCTTATTTTCTTTCAAAAGTATCCTCAACGACAGGCACGTTCGGTACCGTCACGGCTGAAGTAAATAAAAGGATTTCCAAGTTTCCACCAGGTAGAGAACTACCTTTAGGGCAATCCTCCTTTCTATTTCTCTCTCTTTCTTTCTACTTTTCGTTCATCTTTCCCTGTTCCTTTCTATGCGAGCCCGTTAGAAGCTTTCTCCGTTGGACAACCTCGAAAAGAAAAACGACGAAGAGGTAAGTACGCGTACCGTGCAGGTAATCGGTTGTCGAGTCTTCTTTCTTAATTTTTGTCTTTATCTTCCTTTCTCTATCTCTTTCTTTTCTTCGAACGATTGCGATATCGATTCGTTGTTTCAATACCGCCGCGAGCTACGCAAGATATTTCTTCTGAAAACGATAGGAACAAAATAATCGTTCTTTCTTCGGACATTAAAGATAAAGAAAGAAAAAAAAAGAAAGGCAAGAAGAATAAGAAAAAGGGAAGATAAGGGTAGAAAAATAATAGGGAAAAAATTACGAGGACGGTATCTTACTAGAAACGAGAAGAGCGTAATTGCGTGGAACGTTTTCGTGGCAAACGCATTTGTCTTTTCCCGTTTAAGTATTATTAGTAGGGCGCAAAATCGAGCCTTGTAAAAGGTTCCTACTACGTTTCATTCTGATCTCTAAAACATGTTCCACAAATGTTCTCAGTGCGACTCCAAATGTCCATTTTGTGACGTCCCGTGGATCCTCTAGGAGCTTTTCTCTGCTACGGAAATTGTTCCGCTTGTCGGCCGTTATACGTCCGCGTACGTTCTATTTATGCTAATGAGGTTTTCCTTCGGACGTTGATGTTCCCGTTGGTATTTTCATCCTTTCAAAAGAAAACTAGCCTTTGAAAATAATTCGCTTTACCTGGCACACGGTTTACTACGCGGCTCTTTTCAACTTCGTATCTTATGTTAGAAAAGAATTATATTAAAAAGAAAAAGAAAGAAAAAAATAAATAAAAATAAAATGTTTTCTCTTGCATCCACGAATTATCCTCGAAAATCGGAACAAAAACCTACTATTCTTTTTATCGAAGAAAATTCGATATTCAACAACTCGTAATAATTACCAGTGGAGCAACTACGTCCTTTGTCTCGAAACGCGAAACTTTCGTTTCTTCTTGTTCTTAAAGTGACGTCAATTAGTCGAACGAATGTCAACAAAAGCCCATCAAAGTGGCACAATATTTAACTAATGACTTTCCAAATGCTACTTAATTGTCGAAAGAAGAAAGTAGGTGTAGCCGAGGACTATGAAAATACAACTTTGCTACGTCCACTCATTTATAATCCGCTACTGTTCTCAAGAACGCTACGGCCCTGGACCAAGCATTACTTTATTTCGCAGTAAGGTACGAAACAGAGAAGAAAGAGGAATAAAGACAGATAGATAGACAGAGAGTAAAAGAGAGATAGAGAGAGAGAGAGAGAGAGAGAGAGAGAGAGAGAGAGAGAAAGAGAGAGAGAAAGAGAAATAGAAGGAAAAGGAAGGAGAATTTGCCAATTGCGAATTTGAAAGCTTAACACTGAAACTTCTCGAGACCACTCGCTGAAAACTTGGAGAAAAGTAGTCTCATGAATTCGGGCTGGTTCAATTCGAAGCGGCAAGCATGAGCGAAGCAAGTCGATGGATAAAGGTGAAACGTGGGAGGGGGGTAGGGGTGGGAAGTAAGGGTGGTTTTTAATATTGCAAGCTCGAGCGAACGATTTTCGTGAGTATCAACCTATACTCGAACGATCTCTTCTTCTTCCTCTTCTCCTTTTTAACTCTGATATTTCTTGAATTTTTAACTACTCATCAAAAGGAATATTACAATTGAAACTTTACTTTTTTCTTCTATGATTTACAGTAAAACAAGTAATTTAAAATTTGAAGTAAAGGAAAATAGTTTCACGTTGGAGATTGTAAGAATGGCACGGGGTAATGAGTAAGTAAATATAAGTAAGTACTTAACTATGAAAATACGATGAAAGATTGTTAAAATAATCGAGTAGAATGATTAGTTGTTTCTGAACAAAGAATAAAAGAAGAAAAATAAAGAATAAGGTAAACGTCTATAAGAGTTAAGGAAAATGTGCCATAATCGTGGAGACTAAGGGGTGATAAGACGTTATCGCGCCATGGATTTGGACCGTTCGTAAAACGATTGGATAAGTGAGGGAGTAAGTTTGAGCTTTAAATCTTGTGGTTAACGAGCTTCTTACATAACCAATGTTCGCTATTATTTTTCTCGAGTATAATCCGTCGAGATAAGGAACACGTTTTGGGAAACTACATCGTTTTCTTTTATATGTTTTTTCTTTCTCTGACGTCATCGAAAAAGCAAGAAAGAAAGAGGTAGAGTATAATCTCGTTAAGTTTACGAATTTTTCGCGTTATTTCTTTATTTTCTTTCCTACCGGTAAAGCACCTCTCAGGTCGTTTTAACAATGATACCAACAAATTAAGGTTACGCTGGAATGTGTTATTTACATAGCCACGTGTGGCTACAGCTTTGCATCGTTATGCCAAGTGTTGGGGAGGAAGTAAAAAGAGAAAGAGAGAGAGAGAGAGAGAGGGAAATGGAAAGAAAGGAAGAAAGCAAAGAGGGAGGAAGAGAGGGGTGAAACAAAAAAAAACGGTTGAAAATGTTAAACGCAAACAATGTAAATTCTCCAACAAGAAGAAAGAGTGCGTTCAACGGAGCGCATGGAATTCAAGCGAGGGAGTTGGTATGCCTTTCTCCGAGAGCATTCGCGTGAAACTGCCAGAGCACACATAAAACTTTTTTAACCGTGCTAATTGCGCGATAATCGAAAAAAAAACATTTTTTTGCAAACATGTGTTCATAGAAAGAATTTTTGTATTATTTCTTCTCTAACTACAAGATCCTTTCGTACTATCCAAGTCGACCTTACACACCTTAACGCGCACCTTGCATTTTTCATTTTTCGCTTTCGGTACGAGAAATTAATATTAAATTACGGTACACATTTGTTTATTATATTATTGATTTTTATTTTTTTTTTTTTACGGGTTCGAATCACTTTTTCACACTTATCTAACCCTATCAAGGAACTCGCGTCTTTTACCGTCTCTCTGAAGTAAACATCACACGGTTTTTATTTATTATTTTTTCGAACGGATCACCCATCCGTGTATTAACCATACTCACATGCCCATCGTTACTTGTCCTTAATGATCTAATGGGAACTATGATTTCAACTAGTGACTAGGCCATTTATTTATTATAATATGTTTTTAAACTACAAAATAAATGACTAGTATTTGCAATCACGTGAATAAAATGGAAGCCATTTTAACGATCGTCGTAATGGAAAATAAAAGGAAAAGGTTGTACTAGTATGTACCTTGTAGAGGTTTCGAAAGAAGGGTGAAGCCTTGGTTGGTCTAACGAGCGTATAGCGATCTAACGTTATACTTGGCAGAAGTAGGTAGGTATTCGGCTAACCGTGCCGAACTAATCCAGAGAAACGGGCGTACGGGCCGATACCTCGATATTTAGAGTTATTGCCCGATCACGGAAAGTTCCGCGTTCTACTCGTATGCCAAGAGAGAGAAAAAGGGAAGGAAAACAAGAAAGGGAAAAAGGGGATGAGAAAGGAAGAAATGGAGAGAGCAATGTAACACCGCTCGCTTTATTGCTACGGTCCATTAACCGCCATTTCGGGTTCGCGTGTACGCTGTTCGGTTGCCACGAGCCAGGGCTAACGCGAGAATCGTTTGTCCTTTTTCTTTCTTTTCCTTTTTCATTCATTTTCTTTCTTTTTAAACCCTAACTTCAAAAGAAAGAGAAGAAATAGGAAGGAAGAAAGGAATAGGAGAAAATAGTTGGCCCTTTTTAAATTCTACGAATTCGACGAAGAGAGAAACTTGTTTAGAGAGAATAATTTGCAAAAGGAAGAAGAAAGGGACGTGATATTTTCTTCCTTGGTATATATAAAGGGCAAAACTTTTACAGAAGATAGCAACCAGCGAGAAGGAAGGAATAAAGGGAATGAAAGCTTTATAATCCCGTGAAAATTCAGAACTACGTAATATTCCGTTCGAAGTTAAAACTTTTTCATCTTTTCCTCTTCTACCTTTATCTTTGTGTCTCGGAATTGTAATAATATTATTATTAAATTTCCTAGAGAAATTTGAATATTTATTTGAACATTTGATGATCGAACGATCGTTATTGATATTTTTTTTTTCTTTTCGTTATCGTACTTATGTACCAAAGAACCAAAGGATTGTCATTGATTATATTTTTCTATAATGCTCTCTGTAAATTTGTAAAATTTACGATTCTTTACTTAATTTTGAATATATTCTAAATCGTGAAAATTGAATTGACGGAAAATGTAAGAAAAAAAATAATTAAAAATTTATAAGAACCCTGTTGCGTATCCTATGAAACGAGTGAGTAGGATGAAGCGCCGGGGCGTGCACGGCCCTGCCGAGACGT